ATACTGTAAGACGGGTGGACTTGTCAGATGTCCCTTGAGTGTGTCCACAGCAGCAGTATGTTGTTCAGTCCAATACCATTCTGCATCTTGACGAAGGAGCTGACGGAGGGGAGCTGTTATCTCACTGTAACAGTGTATGCATTTAGAAAGATAATTGGTCATGCCAAGAAACCTCTGCAAACCATGTTTGTCTTCTGGGGTAGGCATCTGGTGGATGGCTTTTGGTTTTTTCTGGGTCAGGCTTGACACCTTTGTCTGTGAGAATATGGCCTACATATGGCACCTCTGAGACCCTGAAACGACATTTTGTTGGATTCAGCTGCATATTTATGGCTCTGACACGGTCTAGCACACATTTAAGGCGTTTGTCGTGTTCCTCAACAGAAGAGCCCCAGATCAAGATGTCATCCACAATTATTTCACAAGGCTGCCCAGAGAAGAGCTGTTCCATACATCTCTGGAAGACTTCACTTCCAGTTGAAATCCCATATGGCATTCGTAGAAATTTGTACCTTCCGAACGGGGTCATAAAAGTTGTGAGTTTCGATGATTCCTCGTCCAGAGGGATCTGCCAGAATCCACATTTTGCATCCAGAATGCTGAAGACTTTTGCCTGTGGCATATCAGCGATCACTTGCTCGACAGTCTTTAATGGGTGATGAGGCCTAAGTAGAGCCTTATTAAGATGTACAGGGTCGATGCATATGCGTACCGTACCATCCTTTTTGACTGTAGCTGCCATGGCAGACACCCAAGGGGTAGCCTCCTCCACTGGTGAGATGATGGCCAGTTTGGTCATTCTTTTCAACTCTTGTAAGACTTTATCTTTCATAGCCAACGGGATCCTTCTGGGGGCACACACCGTAGGACACACTGATTCATCCAGGCGCATGTGATACATGACTGGAAGCTTACCAACATTGTCAGTACAAAACAGATCCTCATAATCACTGATCTCGGGTGCCTGCTGTTGTACAGCATGTACTTCAGGGCTGAGTTGTATGAGATTTAGCCTCATGCTGTCAGGTAAGCCTAACAAACTTTTAACATTTCTGTCCACTATGTGGAATAGCAGTTGTTCTCCTGACAGAACTAGGGTAACAGTGCCCAGTGTCTGAATTGTTTGACCACCATAGGCTATCAGATTTACTCTGTTTGACTGATCAATTTGGTCGTTGTGGTCGACGTGCTGCAGTGTGGATAGAGACATAACGTTGCATTTAGCTCCAGTGTCTATTTTCAGCTTGACCTGCTTGTTACTGGTTGTTGAGAGTGTGATGAATATTTCTCCTTTGTTTGCAAACAGGTCCACACTTTCACAATGAAACTTTCCACTTCATTCTCTCTGTGTAGATTTTTTTCATTAGGTCCACTAGATGGCATCATCTGTCCACCTGTATATTGAGGCTTAGATCTACAACATTTGGCAAAGTGATTCCACTTGTTGCATGAGTTGCAGCGTTTGTTAAAAGCAGGGCATTTGTTGCGCTCAATAGCGTGCTCACCCCCGCAATTGTTACAGCGTCTTTTGTATTGCTGCACTGCAAACACTTCAGCCTCTCTTTTGAGCTCCTTAGGACCCCTTTCAGCATGCTCAAACAGCATACATGTTCTGATTGCTGATTCTAATGTCAAGTCTTTCTCCCTTAACAGCTGAGCACGTACTGCATCATTGTGAATGCCACAGACAATTCGGTCTCGTATTAGTTCATCAGTTAGCATTTTTTTGCCAGCAGTCTTAACGTAGCCACGTAGGATTGAATTCCTTCGTCAGGTTTTTGCACCGTGCTATTGAATGCGTGCCTATCCATTATCACGTTCCGTTCTGGCAAGCTTATCTCATCAAATTTTTTGATTAACACATCAGGATCCTCCTTGTCCTCATCTTCTTGAAAGTGAAATGACTCATATTTATCTAATGCATCCGAACCGGCTAAATTGAGAAGGGTGTAAGCTCGCACCTTCTTTGACTTGTCGGACAGTCCTGCTTTGCTGTACACGTCCCATTCTCTCTTGAATTTCAGCCAGTTGTTAGCAATATCATTGTCAAACATGAGTGGTTCTATGCGTCATAGATTTTGAGCCATGATTTGTAAGCAATCCCACTTCTGTCACCATGTAAATGTGCACTAAACAGAGGAGTCGTGTGATAACTTTGTATTAACTCCTTTTAATGTGTAACCACCACTGAATAAGAACCAACCTCTCCCTCTACTCATCTCTGCCCCCACATGTCCATCTCTAAACATGCAGCTCCCATAAACACATGTATGTGGGACACACACACATGTTCTACACATTTCAAGAGCTGAACTTGATTAAAGATCATCAGTACAGTCTTCACAGACTTCTGCTTGACTTTCATCCTGAACTTCAAGATCTGGACTCAAAGATTTATGATGAATGTAAAGTTGTGTTCTTCTTTGATGGTCTGGATGAAAGCAGAATTTCACTGATGTTTTCAGACAGTCAGAAAGTTTCTGATGTGACTGAGATTTCATCAGTGGGTCTGTTGATGTCAAACCTCATGAGAGGAGATCTGCTTCCCTCTGCTCTCATCTGGATCACCACCAGACCAGCAGCAGCCAATCAGATCCTTTTTTTTTGTCCTGCTCGTGTCCCACAGCCCTCTCAAAGTTCCGGATACATGATGAAACATTTATATTTGTGGGGAAATATAATCTGTCCAATAGAACTGGTTAATGTAATAAAGAATCACTTATATTAGGAAAATGTTAGTCACCATAAAATATATATTTTTTTTATTAAATATTGTAGTGTTTATTATAAACAATTTATTTGTGCACTTCATTATTTTTTAAATTCATGTGCCCTCGTAATCTTTAATCAAAATGTTAACCTCCCCTCCTCAAAACAACTCATCTTCTCTTCATGTCACAAGCTCTGACTTGAGGGCGGAGCTATCTGGGACTGCCATCAGCCTCAGTGACGTCAGTCATGTGAGGGGTAAACACAAGGATAAACTGCTGATGCTTCACTTTATAGAGATCAATGCATTGATCAGTGCTCACGTCAGTCATGGGGGAGTACGGTAACCCTTAAACATTAACAAAAGGATATTAGGATATTATTATTGACTCTCTGTGGTCATTAAAAATCCCAGGATGTCCTTCGAAAAAGAGTAGGGGTGTAACCCCAACATCCTGGCCAAATTTGCCCATTGGCCTCTGACCATCATGGCCTCCTAACAATCCCCATATTCGGATTGGCTTCATCACTCTGTCTCCTTTCCACCAACAAGCTGGTGTGTGGTGGGCGTTCTGGCACAATATGGCTGGTGTCGCATCATCAAGGTGGATGCTGTGGACTGGTGGTGGTTGAGGAGATTCCCCCTTCTATGTAAAGCACTTTGAGTGCCCAGAAAAGCGCTATATAAATGTAACAAATTATTATTGTCATTATGACAACATTACTTTTCGCACAAGGCATGAATATGACTTAACCTCATGGAGAATGCACTCAGTCAGTCTGTCTGTCTCCGTCTCGCTCTCTCTCTCACGCTGCTTCGGCTTGTTTAGTGTCGTTGCTCATCCATGTGGTCATCGTCCTCAATAAATAAAAAGGTTCTTTAAGCAAGGGTATTGGCAGGTATTCCGGTGGAGAGCAATCCCCCACAACTGACCGCAAACTGGCATTCAGATCTGCCTCCATTTTCTTAGAAACCCCTAATGTCCAATGATTCAATCAATTCCCAAAGGACAAATCAAGTCCCGCCCTCTCATTTCGGATACGGTTTCACTCGGATAGATGTCACAGTAGAGAAAAAAAAGACAATCGCAAATTCCGTTTCAGTCCAACTTTAAAAATATTTGTAATGGCACTCATTCCATTAAACGTTCCACAATAAATTACTGTAAAATTAAGAAGAAACAATTATTGAAGCATCACGCATAATGCTCATAAAATATGACTTTTAAATAAGTCATGTCTTTTACTTCCTAATGTAAAGACCAGAGAGTGAATGGTCAACCAGCATGATCTTTCCTGGTGACGTTTTTAATCGAGTATGACACCAGCATGCCTTTTAACCATTTCTCCCTTTTTCAGATTAACATCCTGTGAACTCACTGATCAGCATTATGAAATTGTGGCTTCAGCTCTACAATCATTAAATTCTTCTCTGAGAGAGCTGGACCTGAGTAACAATCACCTGCAGGATTCAGGAGTGAAGCTCCTCTGTGCTGGACTGAAGAGTGTCAACTGTCAACTCAACAAACTGAGGTTTGGCTTTTACATTTACTCGTCCAGTTTGTTAACCATCTGAGGTCGGTGAACCCTCCGCAGCATTCAGTTGTAGCAGAAAAACTTGAAATACTTTGTTGTTTTTGGTTGTACAGATAATAGTAAGATGCCATTCAAAACTGTAAAACAGAAAAACTGTGCACTTTCTGCCATTCTAGTCTCTGTGAACTTTTACTTTTAAATGAACCAATTCAAATCAAAAACAAATATTCACACTCTCCTGTGTATGAGGCTGCATAGCTGCTGACCAATCAAAGTGCCTATGACAAAGACGATGACATCAGGGGGCAGGGTTAGGGGTGTGCAACAAACAAATAATGCAGCCTACGGAGCCAATAAAGGAACATGATTAGCCGCTTGCTAGCGATGGACTGTTACATTACAGTACATGAAAGTTCACTTACCACATAGAGATGACTGATAGGACAATGGCGAATGATTTGCAGATACTGAGCACCACTGACAAATATCTAATCTTGTTAAATGTGTGGTAGGTACTGCCGCTCCGTAGTATAGAGTCTGTTTGATCGCAGATCTCGAAAGAGAGCGCGCATTCAAAAGCGGTTTCAATGCCCTGCATATTAGTAGCGGCTCCCTGATGCAATTTATATACAGTGTAATTACCCAATTATATAATTGCGAGAGAAACTATTGAAATATTTATTTTTATCCTCCCATCTCGTAGGCTATTTATTCCCTTTAGGGGTTCCGTAGTACACTTAATTTCCTTTCCGAACATGGAATTGGGATGTGGGGGGTATGGGGGGGAGATCACGATGCCGGCTCAACATCGTGATGTCTGTCAGCCATCGGCGATAGACGATTGCATCGTTTATCGGCCCAACCCTAATGATGACTCTTGTCCACGATCTAAACCCCTCTTTTAATTCTGCCATGCAAAGACTGCAACTAATTTGACATTAGTTTAAAGTCCCATCTAGAGTTTATAAATAAGACACTAAAATGCATTTTTCCATCAGTCACTGATTATCCTTTCACATGAGATCAGATTTATAGTCCACTAACAAGTAACATTAGTCAAAACATAAAATGTTTTTATTTGTTTGTTAAACTTTTTGTATTGTTTTTACAGTCCTCTACAAGGGGTGTTGCAGGACCCTCAGCATTCCCACACCCCATGTCTAAAATCTAAAATATCTCTTAAAATGAAGCATGTTAACATTAACACTTTTTTGTAGATTATCTGGCTGTTTGGTGAAAATGATGACTGTCACATTTGGCCTGCAGGTCACAACTCGAAGCACTTTTGTTGTTGTATTATCTCTTTATTACATTAACACTTAGAATACTTTTGTAGATTATCTGGCTGTTCGGTGACAGAAGAAGGTTGTACTGCTCTGGCATCAGCTCTGAGTTAAAACTCCTCACACCTGAGAGAACTGGATCTGAGTAACAATGACCTGCAGGACTCAGGAGGAAAGCTGCTGTGCGCTGGACTGAAGAGTCCTAACTGTCAAATCAACATACTTGGGTATTAAATGATGTATTTAACTCACAGTGCAGAGAATTCTGGGAAACATACAGCACCTGGTCATCGATTAAAAAAAATTAACTAATCAAATGGATTGGATCTTAGAAAGCTTTGAGCGCATCTATTTCTATTACACCGGTAACCTTCTGCATCTAATGGTTAAAATCAATGCATTTTGAAGGGTTGTAGGGGGGGCCAATCGAATCTGAGGTGGCACAAATCAGATCCAAGGGGTACCCCTCAGTTGAAAACGCATTCAGTTTAGGGGCTTCAGAACGTATATGTATACGCAGTTTAGGGGCTTCAGAACGTGTATATATACACATATGGTTCTTTATTTTTTAAATAACACTTATTATTTAACGAACACTTTACTTTGATACCACAGCAAAAATTAGTAGCATATAGGGACGCAATGATTCACTCAACACAATACTGATTTCAAGATACGATTTTCTAATTTTTAACAAAACGAGACTTTAGACAAATTATAAATGAAAAGGTGTCCTTTTGTTATTTCTCAAAGTTCTGCTCATTTGTTTGTGAAATTAAAATGTAAAATAATAAAACTAACCTGACATTTTAAAACAAATCCCACTACAAACAAATAAATGATACAAATACATGAAATCTCTTCATACAAACAAACAAAGGCTTTGCCTGTGCTCTTTCCGTTTAAAATTAGAGGCAACCACTGCCTTTTAATCACAATCCAAACAAAGACGCTAAATACATGTTATTTAGATTGCAATTAGATATTGCAATTAGATTAAAAAAATAACCACCTGTGTTTACAAGAATACTTGACTAGACAGTTATTTTGAGATAACTTTGTGTGCACATGTTCACTGAAGTGCAAGGAGTCATGAAACAGGAATCAATTCTGTGTTCACAAGCTGTATGAAATGCTACTCTCTGTGTGCACAATTTGAGTGAGTGTGCACAGAAAAAGGTGGTGATACATTTTGGTAGCCCGACTAGAAGATACTATAGCCCCGGGATGCCGGGCTAGTGATTTTGCGAGCCCTGCTGAGCCTCATTTACAAAACAATCTACAGTCAGAGGCTGTGAAAAATATACTGTATATTCCTCAGACGTGATCTAGGATGCCATTAAAGATAAACTGTCCACTTATTTCTGATGCTGGGATCCTTCTGAAGGCTGTACAGAGATGCAAAGAAGCTGTTTTAAAGTGGAAGTGAAGCAGTCAGTCAAGTTTACATTATTTGATAAAGTGATTTACACTTTAATTAAAAAATATATAACAAACAAAGAAAAAGGGATATTTTGTTAGCTTTTGGAGCAGTGGTGCCGCCATCTTGCAAAGCCACAGTGTGTGACGCCACAGGTTTGCTCCGTTAGCCACTGAAGTAATATAAGTATTTCTGTACTTTTTGAACACAAATGTTATTTTAACACACATATTATGGTTTTCACCATAATTTGGATGAATATTCAACATCAAACTGTCTACATCACAAAGTTTTGATTGTGGTATCCCAAATATTGTTTTCCTAATGTGAGGCGCAATGTAAACAAACAATGTTTTATACCATATTGTTAATGTCGCATTTTATTATGTCAGACCTTTCAGATATATTTGCATTACACTGGCTCATTCACTAGTAGTGGTATGCAAATACAATTAGCTTACCTGGTGTTAAGAGAATGCAGTGTTTAACTAATCTGAACGATCAGGCCAGTGCTGCTTCCTCAAGAAAGTTGATCATTTTCACGTGTTTTAAGCATTGTCAGATTAAACATTAAAGTGTTTTAAGCCATTCAAGCACGAGATGGAGCAAAAGAGATTTCAGTGTGGTGCTCACGCACTGTAATAGATCGTTTCTGTGCACCGCAGCTTGGACAGGATGTGAGTACCAAATTGACCTTGCAAACAGTCCTTTAAAAATATTCAGATAGGTCTAGCAGAAATACAGGTAGGAAATATAGACCGAAATTAAATAAAGTAACCTGCATCATCTTCACTGTATAAATAACATTTATATGAATCCTTAGTCAGTCTATAAAAGTTATTCAATCAAGAGCAATGAGTGATTTTCTCATTTGCTGTTTGATAAATATTAAGACACAAAACTGGAATATTAGGCTGCTGTTACTTCAAAACTTGTTGTTGTAGATTATCTGGCTGTTTGGTGACAGAAGACAGTTGTGCTGCTCTGGCTTCAGCTCTGAGTTCAAACCCCTCACACCTGAGAGAGCTGGATCTGAGCTGCAATCATCCAGGAGATTCAGGAGTGAAGCTGCTCTCTGAAACACTCAACCATCTGGACAAACTCAAGTAAGTTGAGTATTAACAGTCATCCTGTCTTCTGTGATTGTGAGAGAATCTGTCATTGTTTTTATGGTTGTCACGAGATGCTGCTTTGATTCTCACAAAAAAGAAAAGAAGCCCAACTTCCTTTAAAACATAAAATACTGAATTATGTCCCACTTGGATACTGAGCTTCACAGAGACTATATGAGAACATTGTGTGCCGTTTGGAAAAAGAGCATCTGTATGTTCATTGGAAACGGCTTTAAATCACTGTTTTTGACCTGGATTGAAGCTCTCTCTAAGGCTGGCCACACATTTGAAGAATTTAAGGCAGATTTTATGCCTGATTTGCACCCCTGAACGATTGGGGGCGTAGTTCGATTCGAGGCTTGTTGCAAATTATTTTTTGTCCAAAAAATCCTTTATTGTGTGGTGTCATTATGATTATATAACTCCTCCCGATCGAGACGGAGTGTCCCGGAAATCCAATCGTAAATATTAGAGCCCGGCCGATATATGTTTTGAGTATGTTAACCCTGATATGAGGGAAACTCTGGGTTTTCTGTTTCAGAAACAGTTTGGATTAGAAAACATTTAATTATGTGAAATCTTGTTTGATTCACACATGACTGATGCATTTAACTCACATTAGGTTTATTAATTTGTTTATGTTTAAACTGTAATCTAAATGGATGGAGAATTTGTATACAATTGAAATAAATAAAATGTAAATGTTTTTGAGTGTATGTTATGTCATCGTGTGATTATATAAACTGGTGAATTGCTTAGTTGAACCAGTTCATTTAAACAAATTGTCCAAAATAACTAGTTTGCAGAAAATAATTGGACTTCCTCATTTGCTTGAGGCTATGGATTACAGGTAATATTGCTGAAAATAATGTTCAGTTTATTGCACAGACTGAATGTTTTGCTTTGTAAGACCTCAATATATCATCAGTTACCACAGGTATTACTTTTGTCTTGCATTTTTGACTCTCAAGTGACAGTAGCCATTTTATGAATCCCCAAAGACCAAGGTTTCGAGAAGGGTCTGGCCGCAGACTTGCACTTGCATTCTCAGATTTGCACTCTCCGTCACCTGCACTTCCTCTGCAAGTGACGTCACTCGTAATTGACATTTGCATTCTCCACTATCTGCGACGTCACTTGCACTCGACACAAAATTTTTTTTAAGAATTATTGCAAACGGGGTAAAAAGCTGCAATTATTATATTATAAGTATTTTAGTATTGTAACAGACCAAAACATTTGTTTTCAAAGATTTATGTTGTGGCTTGTGCCTTTATTGTGAGAGAACAATAAATGCAGTATTCATAATGACTAGCGAATGAGAGGTGAAGGCCACAATACTAATGTTTTCCACCAGAGGGACAATTCCTTTTAGGTCTTAAAATCTGTGTAATTTAAAAAAATGGCTCTATAGATTAAAAAAAGGAAACAAATCGCCACCTTTAGCTATATATTTTTTTATTCTGAACCTATTTCACAAGGAGAATTTTCACAACTATGACACTAACAATTTGTATTACTGAACAAATACAATAATGGAAACAGATAACCGTAACAATAATACAATGTCAAAAATAACAATAAAACTTAACATTTCCAAAGCAGTTCCAACTATTCTCACAAATACTGAACCTATTTCACAAGGAGAATTTTCACAACTATGAACAATTTGTATTACTGAACAAATAAAATAATGGAAACTGATAACCATAACAATAATGCAATGTTAAAAATAACAATAAAACTTAATAACACTTCCAAAGCAGTTCCAACTATTCTTACTAATATTACTGCATTAGACATTTCCAAAAACCAAATTGCAAAAAATTACTTTTTACAATTTTCATTGTAACACAATTAAAATAATCTCTAAAATCAAAATGGTGTAACGGAATGCTCCTAAAAAAGAAAATCCATTTGCAGCATTTATTGAAGAGTCCAATAACAGAGCAATCCACAACAGAGCATAATGCAAAAACGCATGCACAAAGTTATCCACAAAAAAGGAACCTGTAAAAACAGAGCAACAAAAAGTAATAAACCAGCAACAAAAGACAGGAGCAGAATCCAGTTGGAACCGAAGGGCCCCATGGCAGAGCAGACGACCACCACAACCAGGCCGACGGAACCAAAGATCCACATAGTGAAGCTTACAAGGCAGATAACCTCCCTGGAGGATCAGACTGCAATGAAGAGCACAGCTAAATTAACAATCTCTATGGCCATAACAGGACAGGCAGATAACGCCGCAACGATCTCCTTGACCGTAACCTGAATGTTCAGAAATGGGAGCCACCACCTCGGGAAGAATGAGAATAGACTGAAGAATGGACTCATGGACTGGAACGAGCTCAGGAGTGAACTCGTAGACTTGAGTGGGCTCTGGAGTGGACTCATAGACTTGAGTGGGGTCTGGAGTGAACTTATAGACTTGAGTGGGCTCTGGGGTAGACTCAGACTTGAGTGGGTTCTGAAGTGGACTTGGATGGGAGCGAACTCTGAAATGAACTCGTAGACTTGAGTGAGCTCAGGAGCAAATTCATAAACTGGAGCGGGTTCTGAAGTGGACTCTGAGGACTCCCAGACTGAAGCGGGCTCTAGAGCGGACCCTGAGGGCTCCCGGACTGGAACGGACTCTGGAGTGGACTCTGAGGGCTTCTGGACTGGAGCAGGTTCATGAGTGGACTCTGAAGGCTCCCGGACTGGAGCGGACTCTGAGGGCTTCTGGATTGGAGCGGACTCTGGAGTGGACTCTGAAGGCTTCCGGACTGGAGCAGGTTCATGAGCAGACTCTTGAGGACTCCCGGACTGGAGCAGACTCTGGAGTAAACTCTGAGGGTTCCTAGGCTGGAGCGGGTTCGTGAGTGGACTCTGAGGGCTCCCGGAGTGGAGCAGGCTCTGGAGTGTACTCTGAGGGCTCCTGGACTGGAGGGGACTCTGAAGTGGCCCATGCACGCAGAACAGCCCAGAGGTTAAAGGCAAAGATGGCCTTCTTGATTATGGCCGCAGCAGTGAAATCGAGCGGCCCTGTAGTGATCTCTGAGATCACTGGAGTCGGGTCCTCCAGGACCACCAGACTTGGGACCACTGGAGTCGGGTCTTCCAGGACCACCAGAGTCAGGTCCTCCAGGACCACCGGAGTTAGTTCCTCCAGGACCACCTGACTTGAGATCACTGAAGCCGGGTCCTCCAGGACCACCGGACATGGGTCAGACTCATAGACTGGAGCGGGTTCTGGAGCAGATTCAAGGACTGGAGTGGACCTTGCGGCCCTCCTCCTTCTCGATCTTCACTTCTCAGTGGGAGTCAGAAGGCCAGGGCTCATAGGAAAATCCCCACAGAAGGGCTCTGATTGACCTGGTATAGCCCACTTACTACGCTGATGGAGATACTTGACAACCCCTGAAGTCTAGGATCCTGAGTCCCTCCATCTCCCACTGGGGCAAAGGATTATCCAGAGAGACATTATAAAGATCTTTAAGCGCAGTCTCATTGTAATTTAGCCCCACCGCAAGAGTCCAAAAGGTCTGGGCAGAACCTCCTACCTCTATTCCCTGCTGCCTCAGAGCCATCAGAGCCCGAAGTCGAGCCATCTGCTCCTTCTTAGTGGCAGGAGGAGATATCCGGATATCCATAGTCCAAAAACAAAGTAAATCTGCTTTATCTTGAAGTGACTGGTTTGTTCTGTCACGGAATGCTCCTAAACAAGAAGATCCAATTGTAGCATTTATTAGAGATAACTGACACAAAACTGATGTTTCGACACGGTGTCAAGATGCTGAAGCGCAGATATTTCGAAACACTGCTCCGAAGTGTGATTCGAAACACCCATGTCACGTGACTAAGGCGAATCAAAGCATTGGGGCTTTTCACAAGTGTTTCGAGACCTGAATCTGCTCTTGATCGACAGGGTCCGGAACAAACCAGACAATCGCACATCTGTCTTAATCTAACTCCTGCAAAGTATAAAAGTAGAGTTAATGCAGCAGAACAATTAATATATTTACATAAAAATATTAATATGTAAAAAATGCCAGACCTTGTGGATTGATGTATTTTATTAATGTTAATTTTTTCATGACCAAAATAACATATTCACAATGAGTTCATTCAGTTGTCATAGAGATGTTACAACACATTACAAGAACAGAACGATAAAAACACAACTTTTAAATATTTATTAAAATTATATACATGCTTCACCCGGGATTTGAACCTTAACTGACAGGTTCTGACAACATGCCAGTCATGCACACTAACCACTCCCCCAACCCACATGGTGAAATGAGCTGATCTGATCTGGATACAGACTGGATCCTGGTGGCAGCAATCACCATCTGATCTGGATACAGACAGGATTTGGTGGCTACGGTGACCTCGGAATAAGAAAGAAAACAGACTAATATTAGCGTTGATGCCATTCTTCTTACGATGTAACACTTACATAGTGTGTTATGGGAAGTGTTCCTGGTTCTGGTTGACCTAATGCAGCCTAACAATCCTTTGACGGATTTTAATTATAGAAATGCAATAGTGTGTTATGTGTAAAACAGGTTAAAGAGATGGGTCTTTAATCTAGATTTAAACTGACAGAGTGTGTCTGCCACCCGAACAATGTTAGGTAGATTATTCCAGAGTTTGGGTGCTAAATAGAAAAAGGATCTGCCGCCCGCAGTTGATTTTGATATTCTAGGTATTATCAAATTGCCCGAGTTTTGAGAACGCATCGGACGTGAAGGACTATAATGCGATAAGAGGTCGCTCAGGTATTGAGATGCTAAACCATTCAAGGCTTTATAAGTAATTAACATGATTTTAAATGTTTTATTAACAAAGTTCTGGATGAATACAATCAGTAATCAGCCTAATTAACAGGTGTATATATACAGTGGGTACGGAAAGTATTCAGACCCCCTTAAATTTTTCACTCTTTGTTATATTGCAGCCATTTGCTAAAATCATTTAAGTTAATTTTTTTCCTCATTAATGTACACACAGCACCCCATATTGACAGAAAAACACAGAATTGTTGACATTTTTGCAGATTTATTAAAAAAGAAAAACTGAAATATCACATGGTCCTAAGTATTCAGACCCTTTGCTGTGACACTCATATATTTAACGCAGGTGCTGTCCATTTCTTCTGATCATCCTGGAGATGGTTCTACACCTTCGAGAAAACCAGGCACTGCTCATCACCTGTCCAATACAGGTGATGAGATTGTCTTAAGATGGCGCCGACGCTAATGGCTGCCTCCATGGCGTGCTCTGCAGTTGTTTTTATGTTTTTGTGCTGCAATATAACCCAGTCACCCGGTTGCCCTGCTGCACGGCCTTGAAGGTTTTGAGTTTATGCTGTCTCTTTCTCAGAGATCGCTGTGCATTTACTATGGTGTTTAGTGTGCAGTCTAGTGCGTTGCTGCACAGTTGCTAGGGTGTTTTGGGTGGTTGCTAGATTGCTTGAGACAGATATAAGAGAGTTTGTGTAAAACAATCGAATGAAAAAAGATGAGAGTTTGTGTCTTCAATATGAGAAGATTTTGTGTGTTTGTGTGAGAAACTAATAGACACTGTGTGTGTGTGTGTGTGTGTGTATTTTCTAGTGTGGATCATGGAGGAGAATTCAGGATCACATCAGGACTCCACAAATGTAAGTCCTCAATCAGACACACAGTTTTCTTGTTTGTAGTTTAGTTGTAAATGTGTGTGTTGTAATGTGTGTCTTGTGTTCAGATGCCTGTGATCTCACACTGGATCCAAACACAGCAAATGTTTTCCTCATTCTGTCTGAGGAGAACAGAAAGGTGACATATGTGAAAGAGGAGCAGTCACATCCTGATCATCCAGACAGATTTGATGGGTATAATCCTCAGGTTCTGTGTTCAGAGAGTCTGACTGGACGCTGTTACTGGGAGACTGAATGGAGTGGAAATGATCCTGAAATAGCAGTGGCTTATAAAGAAATCCAGAGGAAAGGAGTGAGCTGGAGTTATGACTGTGTGTTTGGATATAATGTGAACTTCTGGAGTCTGATCTGCTCTGATCACAGATTCACTGTCCGTCACAATGATAAGGAAACTGTCATCTCTGCTGCTTCAGACTCCTGTAAGAGAGTAGAAGTGTTTCTGGACGAACCGAGCGGCTCTCTGTCCTTCTACAGTGTCTCTGACACACACACACACTCACACACTTACACACATTCATACACACATTCACTCAACCACTATACGTTGTATTTAGAGTTTATTATAACAACTCTTCAGTGTCTCTGTGTCACATTAAGCACACACACAACTGACTGACACACACACAGAGTCCCCTGCAAACATGTCCTTGCGGGGGGCCCATGCTGGCTTTTTGCGGGCACAGTGGGCTAGGTCCAGCCCACACCAAACCTAAACAGGCCCAGTGTGGGCTTGCCCAGGTGAGGCCCACAGCTTTGGGCTCACCGCAGGCTCTCTGTGAGCAGCCTACACTATGGGACTGCCCACATTAATCCAATGATGCCCCTGGTATGTGGCGATAACGCACCTTTAAAATTGGTTGTCAGCCACCAATCAAATCTAAAGAAGAAGAAAACCCAAAACCAAGATGGGATTATAGTCCGGAATCATGACACTGGGCCTTTTCTGGCGCTTTTCCACTGCGTGGTACGACTCGGCTCGGCACGGCTCAGTACGGCTCGGCTCGGTTTGCGTTTCCACTGCAGTTCAGTATCGCTTTAGAGTGGGCGGGATTATTCACATGTCGTTATAGTTGCGCCGCCTCTACTACCACGACTCCTAAAAAAAAACGTTTTCATTCCTCGTCGCCCCATCAAGCTCTCGCTGGATCCGCTCCTCTGCTATCAGCGAGAGGAACGTCTGTTCTTCCGCAATGGACAACAACACTTTTTGGTTGTTAAAAAAAAGGTGCGCTCGTTCAAAACCGTTGCATTCGATCCTTTGCTGGCTGTCTAGCGACTTTAAATCTAGCGGTTCTTTTGTGTTTGTGTCGCAAGTTCAGTGA